CTTTCGGCTGAGTCTGGTGAGTTGCTTTCTAATCCATCTCGCTACTAGAGATTGGTAGGACATTTGATCTATTTGACTAATACACGACCATATTTGACATTTGCTATGAGTGTGGTTAGTCAGTTTATGCATTCACCTCACACTGCTCACATTGATGTTGTTCACCACATCTTGAGATATCTCAAGTCATGAGTACTGAGCCATGGCTCATGGGACATGTGAGTTACTATGGCTTCAGTCCATTCTTACTGAGCTAAGCTTTGAGGAGAATATTTCCTCCAAGCTATTTTGTGACAATAAGTCTGTCATCTTACTTGCCTCTTACTTTATGCTTCGTGAGCGTACTAAGCTTATTGAAGTTGATATTCATTTCATCCAGGAAAAGATTTGAGCTGGCATTGTATGTCCCTCGTTTGTTCCATCTTCTGATCAGACTACCGACATCTTCACCAAATCTGTAGGACCATCCTTACTTCGGTCTTCCATTGGCAAGCTGGGTTTGGTTGACATCTTTGATCCAGCTTGAGGGGGAGTGTTAGAATGTAGAATATTGTATATTTAGGATATCCTGTGATTTCTATAAATTACAGTTATTTAGGGATTTGATTTTAGAATTTGATTGTGTAATTATTTAATTCCTTTTTCCCGTGTATCTTATATTTATTATATATAGATATGGTCTCACCCAAATTAGGGTAAGCAAATTTTGTACAACTTTCTTCTAGCTTTGCTCATTTGCAAACCCTAGTCTAGGGTATCCCATATATTAGGCTATAGTACTAATTAATCCAGGTCAATGTTTTTGAAACCGGGCCGAATCGACCAGTTTAACCGGTTGATCCGTCGACCGGTCTAGGTTTCGGTCTGGTTTGACCGATTGATTCGTCTACCTGTCTAGGCTCTGATCTGTCGACCGAATGACCCGTTTTATCTTGAAAACCAGTCTATTTTTGCTAAACTGGACAAACCCATGATTAAACTTCTTGACTGGACGAACCAGCCACAGTTGGAGAAAACCGGTCCGGAGGGAAGCCTTCGAAGTGCGTCTAATTAAGTGATGAAAAGGTTACTCCCAGGAGTCGAAGTCAGCACCAAAAGCTGAAACCCATTCTTATTTCCATTGCACCACCGTATCTCCTTGTTGATATATGGTAAAAAAAATAATATTTATGGTATTCATTATATTTTATTCCAAATAAACATAACATAACCAAACCAAACCAAGCTAAGCTTTAAGTCCCATCAAATGGAGCCGACTACGTGAATCCTTCTTCTCCACGTAGCCCTATCAAAGGCCATTTCGTTAGTCAAATTAAGTAGATCCATATCTCTATTTACAACGCTAGTCAACGTTAATCTATTCGTACCCCGTCCCCAAACACTTCCATCTACCGTTACAGCATCGCATCTCTTCACTACTGTCTCTGTTGGTCTCCGTTGAATATGACCAAACCATCTCAATCGATTCTCTCTCAACTTATCTTCTATCGGTGCTACTCCTACCCATTCTCGAATACACTCATTCCTAATTCTGTCTTGTCTAGTCTTGCCACACATCAACCTTAACATCCTCATCTGAGCCACACTCATCTTATCTACATGTTGTTTCTTGGTTGCCCAACACCTATGTTACACGGACTCTTTGGAATTTCGAAGGTACCCGTGTCGACACGACACGACACGGGTACGGCTGTGAGATACGGCCGGGATACGGCTCCTTAGAAACGAATACAGCAGAAGAATCGAAAGAGGAGAGAGCAAGGAGAGAGCTTGGCCTTCGACTTCAATTTGACTTGGTTGCAGAGCATCGATCGATCTGTGAAGTTGATCTACGAAGTCGATCTACTGTGCTCCTTCGTCTTCCCCTTTGATCTCGATCTTGATCGTCTCTTCGTCTCTCTCTCTCTCTCTCTTTTCTTTTTTGATCAGTCTCTCTCTCTCTTCTTTTTAATATAATTTGAATTATATATAATGTAAACTATATTAATATAATATTATTCATATTATATAATATTATTTATTCAAAAAAATATCATATAATATAATATGTCATAAATAACATAACTTTTATGTCTAAAATTAAAATAATTTATTTTATTATATATAATATAATTTATTTTATTTCTAAAATAATGTTTACAATTTTTATTTACTATTTATTTGTTATTTTTTTTAATAAAATTTGTTGTTCCTTAAACTTTTTAAACTCATCTTCATATAATAAATATATTTGAAAATAACTATTTAACGTATCATCGTACCCATATGCTAATTTGGATCCATATCCACGTATCCTTAATTTTTAATTTTAAAGTGTCCGACCCTTAGATACACACCTGTATCCGATACTCGCACCCAAGTTCGTGTAACGTAGTCCAACACTCCGTCCCATACAACATCGTTGGTCTAATAGCCGTTTTATAGAACTAACATTTTTAGTCTAGTGGGTATTCGTTTATCGCACAGTACCCCAGACGCACTTCTCCACTTGCACCATCCTGCCTTAATTCTATGGGTCACATCCGCATCAATCTCTTTCGCTGTTGTCATAATCAACCCTTAATAACGAAAATGTTCACTCTTAGGCAGTTCTTGATTCTCAATTTTCACTTCTCCTCTGCTTTCATTGTTACTGTTACTAAATTTACACGCTATGTACTCTGTCTTAGTTCTGTTTATCCGGAATCCTTTAGATTCAAGAGCTTTTGTTTATATATATTTAACAATTAAGTGCTATGTCATCTTTAACTTTTGTTTATATTTGCTATATTTATAACATTTTCTTTCTAACATTATATATAATTAATGTATTTATGTAATGTATCTTAAAATATAAAAATAATTTATGCGATAAGGTCGAAAGAGGCTTTTCGTTGTCATTTAGTAGCTTGGGATCGGATTTGTGCTCCTAAAAGAAGAGGGGGCTTGGGGGTTCAGAATTTGGCAAGGTTTAATCTGGCTTTGTTGGGTAAATGGTTGTGGCGGTTTGTGGAAGAAAATGATCGATTGTTGAGAAAGGTGGTGGTGGCAACATATGGTGTAGGTAAGGGAGATTGGTGTTTTGGTGGAGTTAGGCAAACTCACGGGCAGAGTGTGTGGAAGGGGATTTGGTTAGAGAGAGAGGAGTTTGGAAGAGGGTTTGTTATCGGGTTGGAGTGGGGGATAGAGTGAGGTTTTGAAGGGATAGGTGGTGTGATAAGGTGCCTTTGGAGGAGAGGTTCCCATTGATTTTTGGCATTGCGGAGGATCAGGAGGCGACAGTTGCATCTTATGGCTCTATGCGGGGTCAAACAATGGTGTGGAATGTCCAGTTGCAGCGAGAAGTACAGGATTGGGAGATGGATCAATTGGTAGATTTGTTGGGTTTCTGGTATGGGGTGCGTTTTGGGGGTGTGGGGGTTGTAGAATGGTGTGGAACTGTCCTAGCTCCAAGGGGGTGTTTTCAGTTTCCTTGTTTTATCGTAGTATGGAGGATGGGGTGGAGGTTTTTTTCCTTGGAAGTGTGTTTTTGTGGTAGGGTGCCCATCTAAAGTTGCTTTCTTTGTGTGGACAGAGGTCGTAGGGCGTATTTTGACTATTGACAACTTGATTCTCAATCGGCATATTTTTGTTAATTGGTACTGCATGTGTTGTGGGGACGCAGGGTCTGTGGATCATTTGCTTGTTCATTGTCCAGTTGCTTGTCATCTTTGGATGCTCATTGTTGCTACTTTTGGTTTGGTGTGGATTCAACTGGCTTCGGTGTTGGCGGTGTTGTAAAGTTGGGCTGGGGACAGTTTGGAAAGAGGCACAAAAAGGCGTGGATGCTTGTAAGTCACTGTTTGATGTGGTTGGTTTGGTTAGAGCTGAGTAGGCACATTTTTCAAGGGGTTTTTTATTCAGTACTGTGGTTGGAACGACGATTGCTCACTGTGTTACATAGTTGGGTTGCGAGTTCGATAGATCCAGTTGTGTTGGCGTTTGTAGATTTTGTTGAGGACTTGATTAGTTAGGCTTTTGGGCTGATTTAGCCTTGGTTTTTGTATTCTTTGCATCCTCTTGATATTTTTTTAATAAAATTAATTTATTTATCAAAAAAAAGATAAAAGACATTTTCTGATGTTTTTTACTTTGAAATCTTTGAAGATGTTGGAAATTAAAAAATAAGCCTTCAGTTTGTTTCACATTTCTTGTCATAGTAAAGATGTACTGTTTATCATATTTGAATGTTATTTGCTTGAATGCCAAATGGATGAGGAAGGCAGTATTAGATTTTCTTTCCTTATTTATAAAACCTTATAATTAAGATCTCATCTAATTAGACTAAATGACATTGAAGTTTAAATTTCCAAAAGAAAGTCAATACACCAATTGAATAATTTCTCATTGTGACAACATCAAGCTTGCTTCTGTTTTTCATTGCTACACATTTCTAGCCTTCTGGCAATCATGTGAGACATCTTGTATTTCTCATTCATGATAGACTCAGGAACCATATCCATGTACAGGTGGTATCTAACTAGAGGTGCTTTGAGTTTATTTATCAAGTGTATGTAAGGACGCTCTCTTCTTGCAGATCTTGATACATCTTTAGGAACCTTAAACTATATGAATTACAGAAAGGTCTCACCACTTTTCAGATAACCTTTTGCTTTTCATATCAATGCGGAATAATTGCACTGCAATTGGGTTGTTTTTCAGGTCGATGTGTGAAATGCCATATTCGTGTTCATGACATGAATTTTATTTAAAAAATAAAGAATAATATTCCCGTGTTTACCCTTTTAGTGTAACTGTGATTTTTTAACAGAATTCACACTTTCTGGATTACACTTTTCACCAACAGCAACTCCTCCGTATTTGTATTGTTATTTATCAATTTTTGAACAGTTGCTTAAACCAAGGCAAAAATGTGTATGTGGATTTTATAGCAAATTTGAGTATTCTTAGTTGTCAATTTCTAAATATGTTACTTATATTTTCTTCTCTTTTAAAAGACAACTTTGCCATGTAAATTGCAGCGAAGAACATTAGGGCTTGAGACTGATTAAAGACTCTAAATATGAGTCTGGCATGTCTGGTGTGCCACAGCGTAGAAAGTCCTTCACACTCATATAGGAGTTACTCTGTTTCAAGTTCAGACAATGAGGGAAGATGTTCTGCAATCACAAACTGCCTTACCAGGAAGGTCTCTCTTCCACACCTGACAGCAAACAACTCTTCTATTGCATCGGCTAAGGTGACCCCACAACCAGGTATTCCTAGTAATGGAGTTGCAGGGGCCCCACGGCTAGTCCGGAGCCGTGCTGTTAGAAGAGACATTGTCAGAGACTGGAATTTTGATGAAGTTGAAATGGGTCGGTAGTTTATGAATTCAGACTAGGAGGAGAAGGCTCTGCTCGTAGGGTAGCGTTGAGAGAGAGGGAGGGAGAGAAATAGAGAGAGCTTAAAGCTTGCTTTCGCTTATGTTTTTGGGTAAGGGAGGGAGAGAGATAGAGAGCTTAAAACTTGCTTTCACTTGTGTTATTGGATGCAGTTGAACTCTTTCCTTTGAGCATCTGTTAAAACTTGTGGAGAGTTAAATTTGAAGTATTTGTTTTTATTTCTTTTGTTTGTGTACTTTTTGCATTGTGGATTCATATTCTTTTGGAATTGTTTTTAGCCCATAGAATCCAATTGAACTGCCCAGGCAATCTTGATCAGTATGATATTTTTTTCTTCTCAGTTTGGAACTTGGTACTCTAGTCTTAAAACACTATAATGCAGCTAGTTTTGAAAACATGGTAAATTCTATACTCAATATAAGTCAACTTTGGCATGACCTGTTCATTATTTTATTTTTTATTTTTTTGAGGAATAAACCTGTTCTTTGATTATTGGTGTATCTTCTTTGGAAAAATTTTGCTTTTCACTCCTTAATCTTCATTCAAATTTCACTTTGTTCTCTCACCTTATTGCAACAATTAAGTTCTTGTATTCAAACTCACGTGTTAGTGTGGTTTTAATGTCGCTTTTGTTTGAAATTTGAATGCAAGTTAAAATATGAAGACCAGAGTGGAAATCAAGTGTAAATTAGAATTGAAAAGTGGAATTTACAAGAGGATCATGTAAAACGCGAGTTGAAATGTGAGAATTTGTTTATAACCAATTCAAAGACTCGTAATAATTGTTTTTCTTATCGTTCTTGTTTTTGGGGCTGCAGTAAATACATGCTTATTTGCTGCTTTGGATTCAGAAATGAATGGATTTCTAGATTTGTGAAATTGTAATTTGATGGATTGTAAAGAGATATAACAATGTTATCAATGTTTTGTATAGTTTTAGAGTTCATTTTGAATAGATTCCCATAACAAGTGGCCTTTGGGGTAATGCTTTTACACCACTAGATGCGACACACCAATCTTTTATTAGTGTTACACATTATTATGTTGTTTCTCAAACTCAGTAGTGATGAATTCTACTATTTATACTAATAATTATTAATTTGGAGTCCCATGTCCAAAAGCCACCAGAAGTCATGAGAGGATGGTCAAAATTCAGCTGGCTCACACTGATCGAAGATGGTGGATTGCGGTGGACAATTGGCGGAGGAAATGGGAGAGGAAGGAAGGAAGAAATGGGAGAGGAAGGAAGAAAATTTGGAGTGTTTCCACTTCCATCAAAATGAATAGAATCATCAAATTTGTTTTCATTTTAAATTTTCAAAATTTTTAAAATTAAAATTAAGAAAAAAGGTTACCGACGAGGCATAGCTTTGCTTTACCTATGCTTACCTCACATTGAAGGGTCGTTTGGTAATTTTTTTTTTTTTTCTTTTTTTGCGTCCACATATTTTAGAAAATTTGGAGTGTTTCCACTTCCATCAAAATGAATAGAATCATCAAATTTGTTTTCATTTTAAATTTTCAAAATTTTTAAAATTAAAATTAAAAAAAAGGTTACCGACGAGGCATAGCTTTGCTTTACCTATGCTTACCTCACATTGAAGGGTCGTTTGGTAATCACATAAGATAAAAAAATAAAAATAAAAAACGTTAAGTTTTTAACTTATACGAAATGTTATAGTGTGCACCCATTTAGGAATGCATATTAGATGCATCCTATTACAAAATTATATAATTTTATTATAAAATTTCGTAATATCAATCACAAAATGTATAATCTCGCATAAATTGACATAACAAAAATGTTTAAAATTTTGTAGTTGATGTTGCAAATGTTTGTGGCTTAGTTATGACATTTTTTATTACGCCAATTTGTAGCGATATTATGTATTTTGTAGTTGATGTTACGATATTTTGTAATAAAATTACACATTTTTGTAGTAGGATGCATATGGTCGAAAAATCAAAAAGTTATTAAACAAAAAGGAAAATTACAAATACACCACCTGTGGTTTACTTAAAGTACAGATTGCTCCCCGTGGTTTTGAAAATTACCAATACCTCATTGTTAGAAAATTTTTATTTAACAAAATTAATTGAAAAAAAAAATTCCTAAGTACTCTCCTATACAACTATAAAATTATCAAAATTGTTAATTGAAATATATTTTTGATATCATTAAAAACGGTTAATTTTTCACACCCTACTTTTTATTACCCAAATAATTTTACCATATCCATTAACATAAATCCATTTCTATTAAGAATATGTAGAACTATACATGCATTACATCCATAATAAATGACAGTTTTCTCAATCGTACATACATGGACTGCAACAGGAATTACATTTTAAAAAAATGTTCATAGGCTTACATCTTTACATTAAAGTAACGGTTTAACTATTTTACAACGATGGAGTCCCGCCAACAAGTATAGGCCCCGTGGCCAACAATCTAAAAAAGATCATCAATCTTGAATTATCTCTCAATTTACACCTAAAAAATTATTAGCAACGTGAGATAAAACATAAAGTCCAGTAAAGATTCCAATATAATCATAAACAATAATAACATACAGATATCTATGATCATGAATGTACCATGACGTACAATATAAATAATGTGATAGTTTAATATTCAAAATATATTTATATAAGTACATTTTCTCTAAGAACATCCATTTGAACACTACAAGCGGTAAAATCATCTGTTTTCTTTCTAATTATCCAGTTTAGTTTCAAAAGCATCTCTTCACAATACAATCTTGGTTATTTAAACCCCCACGCCAATATAAAAGAATTATGTTTCCACATTTGTTTGAAAGTACGTTCACATATACGAGTCATAATCCAATCACGTATCTCCTACTACACACACTTAAGTAACAACACATCTACTATCTTCCTGGCTATAGGCCCAAGGGCTAGAAACACCTATAATGGGATACCAAGAAAACATATCTTTCTAAATATAAATAACTGAACATAACACATATTTTCATTTCCACTAGCCTACATCACAGATAGCAAATGATGCAACCAACATAACACATAACTTTTTACCAGCCTCACCCGAAAGGGAATGACCCCAAGGTCACACTTTATCGGGCACAAACTGGAAGAGAGAGGAACCTATCACAAGGTGTCACGCTTTACCGACTCAATATGGAGAGAAATGGACCTCTTTTCACACTTTACCGGGTGCAAACTAGAAAGGACGAGGAACCTCTGTCAAGGCCCCACGCTTTACCAACCTCACCCGGAGGGAAATGGACCCCCAAATAATAACACAATAATAGCATAACATGCTAAACTACATAACACCGTACAAGTGTAATACTTACGCATCATCTACTCAACAACAATAATGTCATCCTACACCGATGACCAAGGACAAAACCTCTAAACATATAAATAGATGCACCACTCATACAATAAAAATTCATAACTAATTCCACATTTTCAAATCAACCATTTCTCATTTCATTTCATAAAAGAGTTACATATGCCATTTTTACTTCCAAAACCAAATTCGTTGTTTTAAAACCATAAACTACGTCCAGCCTTAACCAAAATTTTATCTTTTCCCTTAAACCAATAAAATACAACTACAATACAAAGTTAATTAAAAACTATTATTAAACCCACTTAAGTTTCCTTTCATAAGACTAAACCACTATTCAAATTCTTTAACACATAACTTGGTTATTACACGTCTTCACCCCCTTAGGATTAATTAAGCCTATAATGATAAATTAGGGTTTTTCCCCACTTTCAACACGATCATGCCGAGCTACCTCTCAATTAACCGAAACATCCGCAACTCATCCAATCCCAACTCCCAAGATCCAAACCCCAAACTCCTATCATGCTATTTATAAAATTTCTTAACAAACTTGTTTTTAAATGCTATAAAAATTAGCACATGTATATCTATAACGAGGTATTGAAAAAGAGTAAAGAAATCCTTACCTCAAGCAAGAAGAGAAGAAAGCCCGAAAATCCAACTTTGACGAAAACACGATTCGTTCAGATTAAATGGAAGCCCTCGCTGAGCTCTACGTTTTGATATATGGAACTAGGAGTCAAAGATGTATAAAAAAAAGATGAAATCAAGGTTAAAGAGATTGAAAACTCAAAAATAGCAGAAAGAGGGAGAAGAGAGGGTGAAAAGTGAAGAGATTTGACTAAAAAAATGACTTTTAAAGTTATGATTCTGGATAGACCGCTCAAGCAACCAAAAGTGCACTCGAGCGGTGAATCAAGACTTTCAGTTTCTCAAACAATTTTGAAAGACAGAGTTGGAAGGGTCTACAAACCGCTCGAGCGGTGAAAGTTGCGCTCGAGCAAACAATGCACATAGCACAGATTCACAAATTTCAAATAGACATAACTCTCTCATCTAGACTCCGTTTAGGGTTGTTCTTGTGTCCAAATTGAAGCCCTGGAAGTAAGCTTTCCAATGATTCTAGCCCCACATCAAGATTCAAAGCATGAAAAGCAAAAATGATAAAAAAGTGAAGACTACTCAATAATAACTATTCAATTTTGTAGTTTTTGATCCAATCTCGCCCTACCACTATGGTAACACCTCGTCCAAGGCCCAAATATCGACTAAGAAGGTTCTCAATCATAATAATCAAATAATCAAATATAATCCCATTATACAAAGAAGTACAAAATGCTACATAAATGACTTAATGATTTATTAATAAAACGGATAATTTATTATGTGATTAAAAATTTGAAAAGGCAAGATGTAATTTTCAAAATTGCAGGAGGCAATTTGTATTTTAAGTAAATCTCAAGATATATATTTATAAGACTGCTGCTATTTCCCTAATTAATACTTTGGACTCCCATTTCTTTCATTTTCTTATTACAATAAAACCTCAGATGAAATTACTAAAAGGGACATGAATTATTTTGGAACACTCAATCTCACAATTAAACAAACCTCACCCACTAAATCATAATATAGGGTTTATGAGAGTATCTACCTCCACGACCACCCACATACTTTAAAACCCTCAAAACCTACACATCATAAAAACCTTTCAACGGCAACAGCGGAAATGGCAACAACTATTCAACAATACACACTTCTCGAACAATAGCAATGAGTGAAAGTTTTTCTAACAACCCTAATACTTTGAGGCGAACGGAGCATCACAATGTAAGCTAGGTTCACAACTTGGCTAATGTTCGCAACTCGGAGGAGGTTGACCTTTTAATGCTAAGTTTTTTCAAAAATACAAAGACACAACAAAAAAAATAATGAAAATGACTTGAATTTTTTTTTCCCCCCAAATTGAACTCCTAAATATATGCACCAAAAAAAAAAATGGCAACACATGACCGATTTAAAGGCATTAGTTCGAAAATGTCTAACCGAATATTATTCATATGTTTGGCCCTTTGAATCGGAACTTTTTTATGCATATATTCGGCACCTTGGATGTAATCTTAATGCATACTTATGTTTTGGTTCTGCAATGAACTCTAATTTTATTTGTTAATCAAATAGGTTGATGCATACTTATCGTTATTTATAAAACTTTGATGGGTTAAACTTGTTCACAAACACAAGATTTTACGTTTTTATAATGTTCTATAACACAAATCCAAATATGTACAAATTGTTCGGTAACATAGGTCCAAACATGGGTAATTTGTTCAGCAACACATGTTTGAACATGGTGATAGAGAGACCAACAACGAAGAGATTGACAACAAAGAGAGATCGACGGTGAGAGATCAGTTGTGACAGAGATCGACGACAAAGCGATTAACAGCGCAGCTCTGTCGATAGTGAGAGGAAGATTGGTAAGTTCAATCGGTAAGGGTTTTGGGAGATGAAGGGTTTTTAGGAGGTGTGCTAAGGGATGTACATTTTGGTGGGTGTGATATTTTTAGAAAGATAAATTTGGTAATATTTAGGGTGTTCTTAAAAGTTTTTAGAGTTTTAAATATTGTAAGTGGGAACCCGAGAAATGGAGGGTCCAAATTATTAATTAGGGTTCTACACGTTGAATGCTCTCAGTTCACATACTTAATGAAACTTTTTTTTATTACAATTTTATCCTAAAATAAAATTATTAATTTATCTTCATCTTCCTTCAACATCTTAATTTTTCAAATCCTAATTTCTTAAGCTCCAACACCGACGGTAGGTGTTGTCTAGGTTAGAGTTAGGATTAAGGTTATGATGAAGTTTAAATAAAGATGTGTACTGAGTAAATAGTGTTTGAAAATTATCAAGTGTATGCAGTGATCAAAGATATACACAGAATTTATGGTGTGTGAAAATAAAAGATCCCACTTAGAATTTACCTTCAAAAAGATCCACTGAACTCTTATTTTCTAATAACCTAACACCAGTTGGGCTGAATCATACAACTTCTCCCGGGTCGGGTTAATCCATATAATTGCCAAATGACTAAATTGCCATTCTTCCCCAAATCTGAATCCTTAGTACCTCAAAATCACTCGCGAATGGCAAAAAACGAAGCATATCACAGCAGAGAAGAGTGAACCAAAAATGGCCTCGAAGAACAACACCAACAACACAACTCTATGCTCTGTCTCTTCTCTGTTTCTCTCACTCTCTCTCCTCTGCATTCTCTCACTCTCTCTCTTCTTCTTCCTCTCCTACACAACCCACCAATCCCCATCTTCACTTTCCCAAGCTACCCCTTCATTCCCCTCCAATCCCATCAAAGTCTACCTCGCAGACCTACCCAGATCTCTCAACTACGGTCTCTTGGATAAATACTGGTCCTTGGACACCGATTCGAGGCTCGGAAGCGAATCAGATAAGGAAATTCGATCGACCCATTTGTGGAACAAAAGGCTTCAATACCCACCCTACCCGGAGAATCCACTGATCAAGCAGTACAGTGCGGAGTACTGGATCATGGGTGATCTGATGACCCCTGAGGAACTCAGAACTGGGTCGTTTGCGAAGCGGGTTTTCGATGTCGGCGAGGCCGATGTTGTTTTCGTTCCGTTTTTCGCGACCTTAAGCGCCGAAATTCAGTTGGGTGTGGGAAAAGGAGCGTTTAGGAAGAAGGTGGGGAATGAGGATTATGAGAGGCAGAGACAGGTGGTGGATCTTCTCAAGACTTCTGAGGCTTGGAACAGGTCTGGTGGTCGTGATCATGTTTTTGTTCTTACTGGTAAGTTGATATTTTTGTTGATTTAGTATTCGAATTCAATGATGAATTAATGGTTGCTGCTTCATAGGTTGTCATCACTTTTCTTCTTTTGTTTTCTGTTTCCAATTGAAAATTTTTCTAACTTATAATATGTAGCCTATATATGATCACTGTGTTATATATATGTATGTGTAGTAGATGCAGCTAATGGATTGATACTAGCTCTTCTTTGTTTTGTTTTTTCACCATCTCAAAATTTCAAATAGTCGTGTGTGTGTGTGTGTGTGGTGGTCACAAATTACCTTTACATGTGAATGGTTTGCAAGTAAATATGAACCTATTACACTTTATCATAAATTAAGCTTCTTTTTTTAATTTCTAAACTAGGATAATACCGGTGCTAAATTTATAAATGTTTGTAAATTTTCGTCAGTGTGTTCAAACTCTAATGAAATAAAACCCTTTGCAATGAGATGCTCTTTTTAATCTAAATCAATATTATATAATAAATAAATAAAAACTATAAGTTATTATTATTTAGATTGTGTTTGAATCTAAAATTTAAGTAAGAATTTGTCAAGAAAAACAAAAATGTGAGGAAAATGTAAAGAGAGGGAAATGGAGCTTCATTCATATTTTTTCATTGTTTCCTTTTTCTCCTTAAATTTCTTCGCAAATCTTATATTCAAATGCAACTTTGAGTATAAACGATCTCAACTAACGTATTATATATTAAGAAATTATATTTACATATTAAGATTTTTAAGTCTCATAATTTATTTACAATGACATGGTAAGAAAATTTGGCCTTACATAGTTAAATTAGTGACAAATCAAAATTTGACACGTAATTTACTATGTCATTGTAGGTATTATTGTAAAACTTATTTTGTGTGTCTCAATCTTTTCCCCTTATGTATTATATTAATAATTAACAAATATATTTGAAGACTTAAACCAATCAGTGTTGGATACTAACATCACCTATATTAATAATTTTTGTAACATTTCAAAAGTTATAATTTTTTTTAGACTAGCAAGTATCAACATGGAAGAGCAATCTAGCTATTGTGAATTTATTTGTATGGGTAGATTGTGTGAACAATATTGAAAAAAAATATATATTTTCCCATATGAGAAAGTTTGTATTTAAAAATAAGGACATATTATACTGATGGTCCCTTCAATTTGCCTCTTGTATCGATTTGGTCTCTATAGTTTTATTTATATCGATTTTGACCTTGAATTTTTCATGTTATGTTTATTTAGTCCAATTGGTAACGAACCTTTAAAAATTGGACCAAAATCAAAAACCAAAATAGTTTGTTCACTATTAACCTAAAAATGATTGAGAGATTAGTGTTCAATTTAAAAGATATTAGCTGAGTTGATTATTTTTGTATGCTCATATTCGGAACTGTATCGTGATTATTTCGTGTCAAAGACGAAGATTAATTGTTTCTTCTCCACTATGAAGATTGTATGTAATTGTTTATTTCTTTTCATTTTAGACTATTTTGTGTATCAATTATTGGGATTCGTCCGCTTGATAGTTGTTAGATATTTGGATATGTGTTATTGGATTTTAATTGTCTAATTTAATATATTTGTTTCATATTTGTAATTAATCTCCTATGGAATAGCCAAATCACAAATCACAATGTAAAATGTCCTCTCCTGTGAAAGACTTGTAATTGTATTATCAATTTACATATATCAAAAAACTAGAAACAACAATATGAATAATAATATAAAAAAAGTCTTACATACATAGAAAACTACACAAATATCTATATAAAAAAAAAATTGCAATCAACTCCCAAAACAAAGATAGCTAAACACTTATATCTTTATTATCAATTTAGTATTTAAAAAAAGAAAAAAGAAAAAAAAGAGAGTACTCAGTTAAAAAAAGAAAAAAGGCATACGAAAATAAAAATCTAAAAAAAAAAACTCGAAATAAGTTTGGACTATTGTCTAAGAGAGCAAGACTAACCTTTGCACCATTACATGATAGAGTTGGCCAATTTGGGAAAAATATTGAGTATGGGGTACATCTTAGGGTTTTCAAAGTTTTAAGTTTTATATTATTTTTATTGTTTTGATCAATATTATTTTTGAAGCAAGTGAAGGTGAGTTACCATATTGTTTTGAATTTTGAAATTCAACATTATTAGTTGAGTTGTTTTGATCAACATTATTTTTAGAAAGGGTGAGAGTGATTTACCATATTAGCTTGAATTTTGAAATTCGAAATCATAGATAATTAGAGCCTTTTTATTTTTTTAGTTTAATTAACCAACCAATAGATTTTTATTTTTTTATTTACATTTTAAATTTTAAAATCAAGAAATTTATTTGAGAACTTGGAGCTCTCACATCCCTTCTCATTAGAAGCCTCATTTTCCTTAATTTATATAGTATAGATATGAGTTGGAGCTCAATTAGGTTTGGTTTTGGTGCTATGAGTGGTAAGTGTGGGGATCGATGTCTTTGGAGAACAATAATATATCAAAATTTGGAAGGTAGGTATGTTTTATCCATTTTTAGGGTTAGAACCATCAATTTTGAAATTTAGTATCTCCTTAACCACTTATTCTATAATCATGAAATTTAGTGGGAACGTCCCTTTTTTTCAAAGTCTGTTTTCAAATGTCATTGGTCTCTACATGTTAGGTTTTGTAAAAGTGGAGTTATGATCCAAACAGTGCATAAAGGTCATTTTTTATTTATTTATTTATAGAAAGACAGAACAGTTAGGCTGACTTTAAAAATCACTTTCCCTTGGGCCACTCATTAGAAAATTATTTCCAGAAATGAAAATCATATCTAGGGCTTGCCATATATAGGAACACTAATATTTTTATCAATCAAGTAAAAGTAACCCAAGCATTTACCTTATTGAGAATATTAATTTGGTCCAAATTCAACTACATAGTTCATGTAACCATATTCCACTTTGGGTAAGGTCGTGAATACTTTCGAAGTCACATTCCAGTTAACATTGAACTAGGAGAATTTTGCTAACCTTATTCACTTTATGATTTATATATGAAATTAAGGTGAATAATTCAAAAGCATGACCAAACTAATTTATCAATTGTCACCCAAACTGATGCTTTAATTAAATCATAAAATAATCAAGTGGTGCATTACTTAATTAAATTAAGGTTTGAATTTTTATGACATTACATAGTATCGCTAAGGTGCTTTGTTGGGTTTGAGGAGCATATTTAAAATGGAAGCTGGGTTGAAGGGGATTTAGCATTAGTGCTGAAGTGGCTGATACACCAAATAAAGTGGCGAGTTATCAATCTTGAGCAGGAAGAGGGGGAGGCCGCACTGCTCTTTTCTTGAGCACCTTTCAGAATGAGGTTTCTAGGCTTCCCAGACTCGTAATAGACTGCTATGAACAAGATTTTATTTATTTTATTTTATTTTTTATTTTTTTCTGTGTTCTTGCTTCTCAGCACGTCGCAAAATCATGAGGAAGCTTTAATGACCTGGAAATTAGTTGTGCCTCGGCCATAGTTTTTTTTTTATTATTATTATTTAAATTAACGGTCAATATATATAGGGGGTGCCATATGTGTGATAATCTTACAAAAATTGAAATATAATGAAAGTAAAAACCACTTATTTCTTAGATTGCCCTTGCTTGTGCCAATTGATGTGGATCAGGATGTCTGTGACATTATTTATTAATTTATCTACTACCAAAATTGAAAAGGGAAAAAAAAAAAAGTTGCATGCGTTAGCAGCTTATGATTTAGTCTCTGCATTGTCAGGTTATGTTAAAACTTGAAGCGTTCTTTGGCAGACCCTGTTGCAATGTGGCATGTCAGAGCTGAGATTGCCCCAGCAGTTCTCCTAGTGGTGGATTTTGGTGGGTGGTACAGGCTTGACTCAAAAGCATCTAACAGTAATACATCAGTTATGATACGACACACCCAGGTTTCACTGCTGAAAGATGTAATTGTGCCATACACACATCTGTTACCTAGGTTGCAGATATCAGAAAACCAGAAACGTCCGACCCTTCTTTATTTCAAAGGAGCTAAGCATCGGCATCGGGTTAGTATTCAATTTCCACCTTTTATTCAATTTGATACTATCTTAGGATTTCTTTTGACTGAGTCATCCAATTATAGTAAATTGTTTTTTGATTTATAGCTTTTGGTGTTTGATGTAGTACTTTTATGTTTTGTAGTTCCACAATTGCTTGGTTTGCCTATAATTATTGACTCTTGTTAATTTATGTTGATTATAAACTGATTTTTAAGTTATTTGTGTTAATCTACGAGGCTTTTGTACATATTTGAAGTAGATAAATTTCCCCTAGATTTGTATATTATACAACTTGCATGTAGTGGCGGAACAGGATTTTAACTCAGAAGGGGTACCACTGAATTGAAATCTTAACAAAATTCACAATCCAATCCAATTTAATTTAATTTTTATTTGATGGTAGAACTAAAAATTAGTGTAATGCAAAAGTTATATTTAAATATAAGCTCAAGTTAACCAATTAAATTATGTAAAGATGCACACACAAAAAGGGATATAGAGAGGGATAGAGAAAGAAATAAAAGAAATGTTGAATAAATAATATATAGGGGCTGCTATATATCATTTGTTTTTTTCACTGCTTTGAATAACTGAATCACATGGCAATATATTATTAGTTATTAATCATGTAATAATTATTTATAAACAAATTAACTAATTATGAGTATTCATATAAGAGGCAATAGAAATGCCATGTTTGGTGTAGCTGTTAAAATAGATTATAGATTATAGCTTAACAGATTATAGATTATGATTTAATCAAAAGCTGTTAATCTGTTTGGTGTAGCTGTTGGATTGTAGATTTAAATTGCTGAATAGTGTTTGTTAAATAAGCTGTAACGTAGCTTTTTCAATTAACTTTTATTTTTTATTATTCACTACTTGTTTACATTTCTCCTAAAAAATAATAATAATAATCTATAATCCATTTGTGTCTTTTTTTTATTTTTGAAAAAAATAAAAATAAAAAAATTCTAAGAGTATAACCGTAAATTAACATGTCTACAGCAGAAGCTGATAATCAGAAGTAAGAGATGAGTAGCTTTTCAGAATCAGTTTTTTTGAGTTAAAATAAGTTGTTAGAATTAGAAACTGTTTGAAATAAGTTTAACCAGACAGTCCAAAATAGCTTTTCCAAAGTTAGAAACTATAAGTTGGCTCAAAAAAACCCAAATAAACACCCTCAAAATCAGCGACATATAACATTTGTCTAATGTAAAATTTATAAGAAATTTTTAACATAATTAAACATTTGAAGCGAAAAATTAAACATATATATTTTAAAAAATGGTTAAAAAAAATAGTGATATAAAAATTTCATAACAGTACTTGAAAGGTTTAAATTGAAATAATTTTTTACAAGAGGCAAAAGCATAATTTCCCAAAAGTTGGGGGGGGGGGGGGGGACAGGTAACAGTTGTAATAATTAAGTGTAAAATTAATCCTGCTTGGATGGTTTTTTTGAATTTGCAAAGCATACAGTGACCATGCCCTCAAATAAGGGACAGTCGTGGTTACTTTAGCCAGTGTTTTAGTGTTCTTATTTTCCATTTTTTATATCTCTAATTCTTGCCTTCACTACACTGCTTTAGCAAGAACCTCATGCAATGGGGTATCCTTTTATATTCTCATTTTACTAAATAAAATTTTGATTATTTTTTCTATAGTTCAAATCATACCCTTGACTTTTGTCAAAAGGTCAAGAAAGGTTTGTCTGTCCAATTGGTTGTCGATACATTTTTGCTTTCAATACTTCCCAAGTTCAGTTCACACATTACACAAGAACCACTGCCAAAACACCATACCACTTCCATGAAATGGCCAAAAGAAATTTTAATGTATATTTCCTGCCCAAAGTGTACTGTTTTTGGTATAGTACTTGTTGAACTGCTGCCTTGCTTTGGACAAAGATAAGTTTATGGGGGAATGGGTGTGGGTGACATTTTGTAAGTCGTTAACTTGTTCCACTTGCAACTTGCAAGGTACCTAAGCATCCAAGAATTTTTGTCTCTATTGCAGTTTCTGTTGTTCTGACATGAAAAATAATTTTGTTCTGACATGAAAACTCATTTTTCTTTTGATATTATTGGAAATTTTCCAAACCAACATTGTCGACTCCATTCTCTCTTTAGAAGGATGTACAAAGATGCTGCAATATCTACCCACAAAACTTGTAGATTTGTAGTTTAGAATGGTAGATCTATGTTAGGGGGAGTTTTCGAGGGTTTGGTATGAAAAAAACCTCTAAAAAAGTGTATATGCCCTTGGGAAATAGGAGGTATCTCATTTGCTAATGAAACATTATCGCATCCAAAATAGAAAACATTATTGGGCACATCAGTCCTCCCATTGATGAGGGTATGTGTTTGTTGTTCCTGATCTGGACAACCAACTTTCTCATTGAGATGAATGCCCTTCTTAATCAGACCTTTGAGAAAGCTAAATTATTATTCATCTAGACCCGTTTTTATCTCACCATAATTATCTTACATGCTCAGAGAAAGGTATAAGCTATGTTTTTTTTTTTTTCCCCCTCTTCTGAATGAGAATTTCATGTGGAATACTGCTTTTATATATCATCACATCACATGAATTCTTAACAGCATTCAATATTCTAAACCACAGGGAGGGCTGGTTCGAGAAAAATTATGGGACTTGTTGGTTAACGAACCCAGAGTTATTATGGAAGAAGGCTTCCCTAATGCCACTGGAAAAGAGCAGTCAATAAAAGGGATGAGAACATCAGAATTCTGCTTGCATCCAGCTGGAGACACCCCCACTTCGTGCCGACTGTTCGATGCCATCCAAAGCCTCTGTATACCTGTTATTGTCAGCGACAACATCGAGCTCCCATTTGAAGGGATGGTGGATTATTCAGAATTTTCTATTTTCATTGCAGTTAGTGATGCTTTGCAACCAAACTGGCTTGTGCGTCATCTAAGAAGCTATTCTGACAAGAAAAAGGATATATTTCGCCAAAATATGGCTCGAGTTCAGCCCATTTTTGAGTTTGATAATGGCCATCCTGGTGGTATTGGGCCTATCTCACCTGATGGTGCTGTAAATTACATATGGAGGAAGGTCCACCAAAAATTGCCCGTGATTAAGGAAGCTATTATTCGGGAAAAGAGAAAACCGTCAGGTGTATCTGTTCCACTTCGATGCCATTGTACCTGAATTTTGAAGGAAAGGACTGCAATGGTATGTTTTCAAGTTCTTTTTGTAACATTTTTTTTTTTTTTTTTTTTTAAATTCCCTTCTGTTTTTTCTTAGCTGTGTCTAGCCTGTTCTTAGAAATATTGTTGGGATGATTGGTTTATCTGGCTTTGCTATATATTCAAATTCATGATTTAGTTGGAAACATTCAATTCTCCATTAATATAGCTTCTATTATTTGTAGTTTTAGTTTTTCTGTTGATTTTCATAAACCAGTGTTTCTATGGTAATCACAGATATGGACAATATGGACACGCGGACACGAGTATATCAAAAAAAAATCAAGACACAGCACACCTGGGACATAATAATTAATAAATATATTTTTTTATATATATATACACATTAAAATAATAACATTTAATTTTTTCCGTAACAAATACATTTATGCTCTATTATAACAAGTTGGTAAGAATCATTTCCCACATCCAATATATATACAAATTAGAAGCTCTAGGCTTTGAAAGTCTTTAAATTTAAAAGTACGAAGGAGAGATTAATTGTTGTTAGTTACACTTATTTTCTTGATCATTGTCTTTCAAATTATTATCCTTCAACTTGTGTTTTGTATACATGTCTATATGATGGACGTGTATATTCTAATTGGTCAAAATGATTTTAATTTTTAAAAAATATATAAAAAGAATAATTAAGTGTTTAGACGTGTATTCGACATGTGTTGGGAGTGTTTGACGAGCATAAGTGTCATTGCATTCACAGTACCTAAAAACAAGTGAATAAACTTTGGTTGTAATTACACACACGCATGTATAGATGTGTATGAAGTTTCAATATCTGCTGTATAAAGCTCTTCTCTGCAGCAAGAAAGGATACCCAATTCCCCTTCTCCTTGAAGGGAACATCACAAACAAAACACTTATCACAAATCCAACCACCAGAGGTACAGTGTTTGTAACCTTTCTCGGCAACGCCGGGTAGTAACAGTCCACCACATCGACGTGCAAAGCTGCAAAAGTTAGAAAAGCAATCAATGAAAGCGACGAATGAAAAAGATCCGACCACCTCATTCTATAATCGGACGGCAGAAGCGGCTTCTTCTGTACTCCATTAAAAGTCCATATTCCACCGATTGTCGCCACGCCATAATATAACCTCCCAGTGGCTGTGCGAAAGCTATCGGTGATTGAAAGGAAGATGCAAGAGGCGGCCAAGAGTGCCAAGAAACAGCCCATAAGCCAGCGGTTCAATGATTCGCATTTGCCATCGTTGGTTAGGAGAGGAGCGAAAATGGTGAATGCGAGAATGGTGGCAGAGGGTAGGAGAACGTTGAGGCGAGCTGTGCCGCTTAGGATTGTGTTGAGGATGTATATGTAATGGGATTCATCGGTGTCGTCTTCTGTTGGGAAGTGGACTTTGTCATCATCTTCTCTTGCCGTTTCGATTAGGTCCTGATGGATTGTGGCATCCATTGTTGTTCCCAATCCTTGCCCTTCGTATCCAATCTGCATAAAAATGGCGGTAATTTGAGGACATTGGTGTGAAGATTCTTTGATGAAGTCTGGTGGCACAAGAAATTCTCTCTCTCTCTCTCTCCTTTATTCTTTTCTTCCTCTCTCTCTCTCTCTCTCTCTCTCTCCTTTATTCTTTTCTTCATTTGACTGTTGATGAGGAGTGGGAATCTTTCAAGGAACTATCATGCGTGGTTATCATTTTTCAAAAATACTTTTCAAAAAATTCTATTATCTTATTTTCTGTATTTTTTTATTTTTACTGAATTTTTTTAATATTTTGAGCAATTTTTTTAATTTTTAGACATACCTAACATAAATATAACTAAAAAGTAAAAAAAACTTGGAAAAAACTTTTTAAAAATTCACTAAATATCAAAAATACAAAAAAAAAATGCGAGAATTCAATACATTTTTTGTATTTTATGTATTTATTAATTTAAAAAAATATTTTTTCACAATTTTTTTACTTTTTATATACATTTAAGTAAGATGCATCTAAAAAAATAAAAAAAAAATGTTTAAAATTTTAAAAATATTCCCTAAAAACAAAAAAATATAAAAACTAAAAAACTCAATTTTCAAAAAATTTAATTCAAAAAATTCAAACCAAACGCATTTGCTTTTGCCATGCTTCTCAAATTCCATCGGTCACTTTTGCCATGCTTCTCAAATTCCATCGGTCATGTCATTTCTACACATTTGAACATGGTGTACCCAAATCAAATATGAATTTAAAATTTTTGTACCATACATCTTCCACTATAAATTTTGAAATTGTGATTGTCTATAAAATTTTAAAATATTGTACTCATTAAAATTCATGGCCCAAAAAAAAGTTAACTTAAATTAAAAACTTGAAATATAAGAACTTGTTTTTTTTGTCTCTCTTCTTTGTTTTCTTTCTCTTTTTCTTCGAAAAGTACTTTTAAAAAAATAGATATTTGCATAAAGCATCAACGTTTTTCAACACTTTTCTTTTCTTGCGTTTTCTTTGCTACCTAAGAAGCACGGACACTTCTAAGAATGTGACGTATCCGTGTCGTGTCCGTGTCGGACACCGACACTCTTTGGACACTCTTTGGACACGTGTCCGATACTCTTCAAAGCGTGTCCTATTTTTTAAATATTTTTAAAGACCCGGACGCTCTTTGGACATTTGGAGGACACACGTGTCAATTGTTTAAACAAATGTGTCTATTAATTATCCATATGTGAAACTAATTATAAGTTTGAACAAAACAACTTAAGATACAATAATAAAACAAAAACCATATAAATTTATAGGAAATAGTGCTATATTGTATTTTTTATTATCTTTGAATAATATATTCATATATATAATATATAATAAATATATAAAATTATATCTTTCATGCGTGTCCTCCACGTGTCGTGTCCTGCATTTTTTTAAAATTAACGTGTCGGCGTATCCGTGTCGTATTCGTGTCGTGTCACGAGTCCGTGTCCGTGCTTCTTAGTTTGCTACCGATTTTTGTTTGATAAGAAGCGCATAGAGAGAGAAAATTGCATCGTGCAGTAAGCCATCACGCCGCAGCAAGGGAACACCCCTTGCCTCCTTCAAATCTAATTTATTTCTAAGTTTTTTTTTTTCTCTCTCTCTCTCTCTCTCCCTCTCTGCAGTTGCATGAAATCATATTAAAAAATTAGGTTAAATTCATTTTATCCACTTGCGATTTGGGGTGGAACACTTTATCCCTATGGTTTAAATATAATCAAAAAGTCCCTATGTGATTTTGAACTAAAGTGTTACTGTTAGTTTTTCATCAAACTAATGAAAGGCAGGAGATGTTTGTTTGAAAGAATGAGAGAGCGAATTGGACTCCATATCGAATCTACCATAGTTGAGAATTCGTAGACTAGATTAGGAGCTCCACCGAATTATGAACCCCATAGAGGCATGTGAGATTTCAATCTCTCATGAGATTAAGTTATAAAATGACTCGTTTGCCTTCTAATAAGCATTTGATTTCATTATGTATTATATTTAGGTGGTGTTTGGGAAGTTTTTTTTTGGCTAAAAAAATACTAAAAGACAAAATTGGTTAAAAAATAAAAAAAAAACAAATCCAGACAAAATGTCGTATCAAACCTATAGTCATTTCACTTTTTCTCTCACAAATATCACATCCAACTACAAAAAAATCCAACTATCTTCCCAAACACAAAAATTTTAACCTCCAAAAATAATCACAAACTAAAAAAAATCTACTAAAATAACAACTTCCCAAACACCCACAAAGTAAATAAAATAAAGGGGATTTTTTAAGAGTCTCTGATATTAAAATTTTATAGCATAAAGGATATCTAATATTTTCATAATGTCTAAAATCCCTCAACATTTATTCGAAGAAAATTCAATCAAATTTCTCTGGGCCTCCCAAAGAAATTCTCTCTCTGGACTCCTCACTCTCCAAAATCCCATAGTGTGAAAATTCATATAGTGATCATAACTAGAGAAAATTCACAAAACTACAAACAGTGAGAGAAATTCTATCATCACACCATGGGTGAGTACTTCTACTTCAAACCAAAATACACACAATCTGTGGTAGCGTTTGGTACAGTTTTCTAAATATGATTTGATAATAGAGCTGTATTTTGAGTTTGTGAGATTTGAAATTATAATTTGAGTGTTAAAAATTTGTTTGGTTATAAGTTTTGAATTGAGTTTTGAGTTGAGTGTTGAGTTGAGTTTTTAATGTTTAATGTGGCATGTGAAATAAGAAAATTTATTTGATTATGAATTTTGTAAAGAGTTTTTAAAACTTAATTCAAATTGTTATAACTCATAACTAAATATACTACTCATAACTCTGTTGAAAATCCTAATTAACACTCACAAGCAAACTCTTTTTAAAATTCAATTAAAAAAATTAATTATTAACATAAAATAACATTAATCAATTTTTTTAATTGAAAATATTACAAAGAAAATAATTTTTTTTCAAAATAAATATTCAATTACTGATTTAAAATAACTTTTGATTGTATATTTGGTTTGATTTTTTTTATAAATATTTTTCAATTAAAATATTTTTATATTTTTAATAATTACTGTCACAAATTATTTACTATTTATTGTATTGTTATTTTTAAATAGCTGGAGACACCCCCACTTCGTGCCGACTTTTCGATGCCATCCAAAGCCTCTATATACCTGTTATTGTCAGCGACAACATCGAGCTCCCATTTGAAGGGATGGTGGATTATTCAGAATTTTCTATTTTCATTGCAGTTAGTGATGCTTTGCAACCAAACTGGCTTGTGCGTCATCTAAGAAGCTATTCTGACAAGAAAAAGGATATATTTCGCCAAAATATGGCTCGAGTTCAGCCCATTTTTGAGTTTGATAATGGCCATCCTGGTGGTATTGGGCCTATCTCACCTAATGGTGCTGTAAATTACATATGGAGGAAGGTCCACCAAAAATTGCCCGTGATTAAGGAAGCTATTATTCGGGAAAAGAGAAAACCGTCAGGTGTATCTGTTCCACTTCGATGCCATTGTACCTGAATTTTGAAGGAAAGGACTGCAATGGTATGTTTTCAAGTTCTTGTTGTAAAAGTTTTTTTTTTTTTTTTTTAAAAAAAAAAAATCCCTTCTGCTTTTTCTTAGCTGTGTCTAGCCTGTTCTTAGAAATCTTGTTGGGATGATTGGTTTATCTGGCTTTGCTATATATTCAAATTCATGATTTAGTTGGAAACATTCAATTCTCCATTAATATAGCTTCTATCATTTGTAGTTTTAGTTTTTCAGTTGATTTTCATAAACCAGTGTTTCTATGGTAATCACAGATATGGACAATATGGACACACGGACACGAGTATATCAAAAAAAATCAAGACACAGCACACGCGGACATAATAATTAATAAATATATTTTTTTTTATATATATACACATTAAAATAATAACATTTAATTTTTTCCGTAACAAATACATTTATGCTCTATTATAACAAGTTGGTAAGAATCATTTCCCACATCCAATATATATACAAATTAGAAGCTCTAGGCTTTGAAAGTCTTTAAATTTAAAAGTACGAAGGAGAGATTAATTGTTGTTAGTTACACTTATTTTCTTGGTCATTGTCTTTCAAATTATTATCCTTCAACTTGTGTTTTGTATACATGTCTATATGATGGACGTGCATATTCTAATTGGACAAAATGATTTTAATTTTAAAAAAATATATAAAATGAATAATTAGAAGTGTTTAGACGTGTATTCGACATGTGTTGGGAGTGTTTGACAAGCATAAGTGTCATTGCATTCACAGTACCTAAAAACAAGTGAATAAACTTTGGTTGTCATTACACACACGCATGTATAGATGTGTATGAAGTTTCAATATCTGCTGTATAAAGCTCTTCTCTGCAGCAAGAAAGGATACCCAATTCCCCTTCTCCTTGAAGGGAACATCACAAACAAAACACTTATCACAAATCCAACCACCAGAGGTACAGTGTTTGTAACCTTTCTCGGCAACGCCGGGTAGTAACAGTCCACCACATCGACGTGCAAAGCTGCAAAAGTTAGAAAAGCAATCAATGAAAGCGACGAATGAAAAAGATCCGACCACCTCATTCTATAATCGGACGGCAGAAGCGGCTTCTTCTGTACTCCATTAAAAGTCCATATTCCACCGATTGTCGCCACGCCATAATATAACCTCCCAGTGGCTGTGCGAAAGCTATCGGTGATTGAAAGGAAGATGCAAGAGGCGGCCAAGAGTGCCAAGAAACAGCCCATAAGCCAGCGGTTCAATGATTCGCATTTGCCATCGTTGGTTAGGAGAGGAGCGAAAATGGTGAATGCGAGAATGGTGGCAGAGGGTAGGAGAACGTTGAGGCGAGCTGTGCCGCTTAGGATTGTGTTGAGGATGTATATGTAATGGGATTCATCGGTGTCGTCTTCTGTTGGGAAGTGGACTTTGTCATCATCTTCTCTTGCCGTTTCGATTAGGTCCTGATGGATTGTGGCATCCATTGTTGTTCCCAATCCTTGCCCTTCGTATCCAATCTGCATAAAAATGGCGGTAATTTGAGGACATTGGTGTGAAGATTCTTTGATGAAGTCTGGTGGCACAAGAAATTCTCTCTCTCTCTCTCTCCTTTATTCTTTTCTTCATTTGACTGTTGATGAGGAGTGGGAATCTTTCAAGGAACTATCATGCTTGGTTATCATTTTTCAAAAACACTTTTCAAAAAATTTTACTTTCTTATTTTCTGTATTTTTTTGTTTTTACTGAATTTTTTTAATATTTTGAGCAATTTTTTTAATTTTTAGATATACCTAACATAAATATAACTAAAAAGTAAAAAAAAAACTTGGAAAAAACCTTTTAAAAATTCACTAAATACCAAAAATACAAAAAAAAAAATGCGAGAATTCAATACATTTTTTGTATTTTTATGTATTTATTAATTTTAAAAAATATTTTTTCACAATTTTTTTACTTTTTAAATACATTTAAGTAAGGTGCATTTAAAAAAAATAAAAAATTTTAAATTTTAAAAATATTCCCTAAAAATAAAAAAATATAAAAACTAAAAAACTCAACTTTCAAAAAATTTAATTTAAAAAATTCAAACCAGACGCATTTGCTTTTGCCATGCTTCTCAAATTCCATCGGTCATGTCATTTCTACACATTTGAACATGGTGTACCCAAATCAAATATGAATTTAAAATTTTTGTACCATACATCTTCCACTATGAATTTTGAAATTGTGATTGTCTATAAAATTTTAAAATATTGTACTCATCAAAATTCATTGCCCAAAAAAAAGTTAACTTAAATTAAAAACTTGAAATATAAGAACTTGTTTTTTTTTGTCTCTCTTCTTTGTTTTCTTTCTCTTTTTCTTTGAAAAGTACTTTTAAAAAAATAGATATTTGCATAAAGCATCAAGGTTTTTCAACACTTTTCTTTTCTTGCGTTTTCTTTGCTACCGATTTTTGTTTGATAAGAAGCGCATAGAGAGAGAAAATTGCATCGTGCAGTAAGCCATCACACCGCAGCAAGGGAACACCCCTTGCCTCCTTCAAATCTAATTTATTTCTAAGTTTTTTTTTTTTTTCTCTCTCTCTCTCTCCCTCTCTGCAGTTGCATGAAATCATATTAAAAAATTAGGTTAAATTCATTTTATCCACTTGCGATTTGGGGTGGAACACTTTATCCCTATGATTTAAATATAATAAAAAAGTCCCTATGTGATTTTGAACTAAAGTGTTACTGTTAGTTTTTCATCAAACTAATGAAAGGTAGGAGATGTTTGTTTGAAAGGATGGGAGAGCGAATTGGACTCCATATCGAATCTACCATAGTTGAGAATTCGTAGACTAGATTAGGAGCTCCACCGAATTATGAATCCCATAGAGGCATGTGAGATTTCAATCTCTCATGAGATTAAGTTATAAAATGACTCGTTTGCCTTCTAATAAGCATTTGATTTCGTTATGTATTATATTTAGGTGGTGTTTGGGAAGTTTTTTTTTGGCTAAAAAAACACTAAAAGACAAAATTGGTTAAAAAATCAAAAAAAAACAAATCCAGACAAAATGTCGTATCAAACCCATAATCATTTTACTTTTTCTCTCACAAATATCACATCCAACTACAAAAAAACCCAACTATCTTCCCAAACACAAAAATTTTAACCTCCTAAAGTAATCACAAACTAAAAAAAAACTACTAAAATAACAACTTCCCAAACACCCACAAAGTAAATAAAATAAAGGGGATTTTTTAAGAGTCTCTGATATTAAAATTTTATAGCATAAAGGATATCTAATATTTTCATAATGTCTAAAATCCCTCAACATTTATTCGAAGAAAATTCAATCAAATTTCTCTGGGCCTCCCAAAGAAATTCTCTCTCTGGACTCCTCACTCTCCAAAATCCCATAGTGTGAAAATTCATATAGTGATCATAACTAGAGAAAATTCACAAAACTACAAACAGTGAGAGAAATTCTATCATCACACCATGGGTGAGTACTTCTACTTCAAACCAAAATACACACAATCTGTGGTAGCGTTTGGTACAGTTTTCTAAATATGATTTGATAATAGAGTTGTATTTTGAGTTTGTGAGTTTTGAAATTATAATTTGAGTGTTGTTTAGTTATACGTTTTGAGTTGAGTGTTGAATTGAGTTTTTAATGTTTGATGTGACATGTGAAATAAGAAAATTTATTTGATTATGAGTTTTGTAAAGAGTTTTTAAAACTTAATTCAAATTGTTATAACTCATAACCAAATATATTACTCAAAACTCTATTGAAAATCCTAATTAACACTCACAAGCAAACTCTTTTTAAAATTCAATTAAAAAAATTAATTATTAACATAAAATAACATTAATCAATTTTTTTAATTGAAAATATTACAAAGAAAATAATTTTTTTTCAAAATAAATATTCAATTACTGATTTAAAATAACTTTTGATTGTATATTTGGTTTGATTTTTTTTATAAATATTTTTCAATTAAAATATTTTTATATTTTTAATAATTACTGTCACAAATTATTTACTATTTATTGTATTGTTATTTTTAAATAAATGGCCAAAAAATTTATCAGGTATTATCCATGTGGGAGTCAAAAAAAAAAATAGAATATTATTTTGTTAGCATCTACACAGTTTACCACACACAATTCAATTTTATTCAAATTTTTTTATTTGTTGATTTTCATCAATTTCATGAAAAATGCATCCTTCATGTATTTCGTCATTTATATCATCTGTTCAACCACAAACTTTTATATTAGAGGCTGAACAACCAACAACTTCACCATCTTCATAATTTATGAAAGAGTTACCAAGTTCTTTCTTGATGTCTTCTCTTTTTCGTTTTCTGATGGCAAAAAAAAAAATTCACTGTTGCAGTCAACCGGCCGAACATCTGGGAGGATGTCCAGAGGGACAACCGGGTAGACTCAAAAATTTAAAAACTGTACGAAAACGTGAGAGCATTGGCTTGGAAGTTTGTTTTGAAAGGCGCTCTGCCAACAGAAATGTGTTTTGAAATGTGTGGTGAAATTAATTTTTAAAAATCTCATCCAAACGCTATGTTCACGTGAAGGGGTGGAATTGTGATTGGAAAATTTTACCAAACACAGTTGTATTTCTTGTTTTTGGTTTTTCATTGATTGTATGTATATATGTAAATATTTATAGGTTGACAAACTCAACTAGTGAGTGAATCGTTAAATGTTTTTGTATTATATTAACAAAAATACAAGGCTCAATTTTTTGGATATATGTGTATATAAAAGAACAAACATAAATATGAGTTTGTATAGGACACCTTCTTCGCTTTTAGCTTTTCTATGTTGAGTATTTTTGTTACCTATCAACACATGTGTGAAAACTATGAGGTGCAAGTCAACACAAAGAAAATTCACACAGTTCAAAGAAAATCCACACATTTAGAGAAAATTCACACAGTCTAGAGAAAATTACACATGACAAAGAAAATTAAATATGGCATAAGAGAAGTTTTGGGAATACTAGAGAAATTCTTTGTATTTCAGTTTAGAGATTTTCTATGAATTGTTAAAGAATTAAACATGGCAGTAACCATGTTGATTTTACAGGCCCACAATTGTTTCTCTGTTTGCAAACACATGAGAGAGAAATTCTAAGTTCATTTCAGAAAAAGAAAAATAAAATAAAATAAAAATCAATCTGCCAAAATAATACAGCTCCTAATACAACCAAAGAACCTTTGATAAAGAAAATCCACGTCCTTCAGTATTACTCTTTTTGCTCAAGTAACCACTACGTAAAATTCAATCTTGGAACCAGAGGAAGTGAAATTCCTTGAAAGAATAATAATAATAATAAAAATAAATAATAGTATATTTTTAGGAAAACAAGAAAAGGTACAAAATACAAGGTTTTAAAGTACTCCAGAATACAGTGTACAAGCAAAGCAACAGACACACATCCGAAATATGTACAGAATCTAACAAGAATATGAAATGATTCTATGATTTCATTAAACAAGAATTAGTTCCCCTAAATAATTCTGTCACCAGAAATTGCGAAGAACCGTATAAGCATATGCAGAGCTCTTGCAAATTGCTACCTCTGTCATTCACTCCTTTTTTCGATTTTCTCTATCACTTCTACTACTTGCTCCCATGGAAATTGCCAAGTTCTCTCTCTCTCTCTCTCTCTCTCTCTCTCTCAACATATATATGTATATATATATATATGGATATATAAATTTCACTTTCTTCTGGGTAATTGAACTTATTTCCAATAGCTACACAGCTTCTAGACTCGTGTTCTTCTCCCACCGACTGTGCTTCTTCTCTCTATTGTGGCAATTGCCCCTCAATGAATAAGAATCAACCTGTCTGCACCAGAGGCCAAGACCCTATGTATATGTGTACTGCACCTATCGATCATCATCATCATCATCAGAGGCAAAGGTCTAGATCATCTTCAGCAGCCTCATCCAATGGTGGCAGGACATTGAGATCAAAATCCATCACCTTGCAAATCGACAATGAAGGCCGAGGTCCGTCGCAGAGTTGGAGTCAGCAATGGCCACCGTCGACTCCTTGTCCTGCACTATCTCCACAGAGCAGCAAACCACAAAGCACAGAAACTTGTGAACGCTCGATCAAAGAGGCAACGAGCAAGAGATCAAATTGAGCTTGGAAGATTAAGAGACTAAAGATGACAAAGAAACCCTAGCTGTGGTGGAGAAGACGTAAATTTGAGGCAAGGATGAGAGGATCAACATAGTCTGTGCAGAAAAAGAGAGAGAGAGAAAGAGAGAGGGCAGCTCTCTACTATGTCAAATTTATCCGTGATATATGGTTATTGGGTTAAGAAACCTTGGGGCATCTCTAATCATTGGTGCTATAATGCCATTGTTATTGTTATTGAAAGATTGGTAAGGAGAGAGAGAAAAGAGAGAGACTGGAAAGACAGATTTGTATAATCACTATCTGTTATTATGTTTGTGTATTCATACAAGAGAATGAGTTCTCTCTCTTTATAGAGAGGAGAAGGAGACAATTGGAATACTGGAGCACAGAAAGCATACAAATATACATTAAAATAATACAAAGGCGTCTGTCAAAGCTGAAGGTGGTAGTGGATGAGTTCTTTACAGCTACAAAGGTGAGCTCTCTCTACAGCCTACACATGCACTATAGTGTATAGTATATTATATGTTAACAGCCCCCCGCAAACTCAAGGAGGGTAGGCATCGACCAAGTTGAGTTTGAAAACAAGAGCACGGAAGCGCCCAGGAGGATGAGCCTTGGTGAAAATATCAGCAGGTTGATCGGCAGAAGCAATGGGGAGAAGATGAACAGTACCACGTGTAACATGCTGTCGAATGAAATGACAATCAATCTCAATATGCTTGGTGCGATCATGAAAAACATCATTGTGAGCAATCTGAATGGCACTCTGATTGTCACAATAAAGAGGGGTAGCGCCAGAAGAGGAAATACCCATATCAGTGAGGAGCCAGTGAAGCCAGAGAAGTTCCTGAGTAGTATCAGCAAGGGCTCGGTATTCAGCTTCGGTGCTAGAACGGGCAGTGAGGGATTGTTTTTTGCTACACCAAGTAAGAAGAGAATCCCTTAAGAAGAAACAAAATCCCGTGGTGGAGCGTCGATCCGTAGGATCCCCAGCCCAATCAGCATCAGAGAAGGCACGCAGTTCAAGAGATGAGGAAGCAGAATAGTGAAGGCCATGGAATAGGGTGCCTTTGATGTATCGAAGGATGTGGAGTAGAGCAGTATAGTGGGGAGTGCGAGGAGCCGACATGTACTGACTAACAATGTGAACAGCATAGGCAATGTCAGGACGGGTGACTGTGAGATAAACAAGACTGCCGACGAGCTGGCGAAAAAGAGTAGCATCAGAGAGAAGAGTGCCATCTAGAGGAGTGAGACGAATCTGAGGATCAATCGGAGTAGAGGCAGTTTTGCAATCAGTAAGACCAGCACAAGCCAGAAGATCGGATGCATATTTGGCTTGAGATAAATAAGAGCCAGTAGAATCATGAGAGACTTCAAGGCCTAAAAAATAGTTAAGAGTACCAAGGTCTTTCATCTCAAACTGACGGTGGAGAAAACGTTTGAGGTGGAGAATACCAGCTGCATCATTACCAGTGATAATCATATCATCCACATACAGAAGGAGAAGAGTGGTACCATGAGGAGTAGTCCGTATAAAAAGAGCAGAGTCATAGGAGCTAGAGGTGAACCCGAAGTCATGAATGGTAGAACTGAACTTAGCAAACCAGGCGCGAGTGCTTGCTTGAGGCCATAGAGGGCACGCTGTAGTTTGCAAACCTTATGAGGGGGAAAAGTAGACCCAGGTGGAGGTTGCATGTAGACCTCCTCAAGAAGAGTACCATTAAGGAAGGCATTTTTGACATCCATTTGAAAGAGCGTCCAGTGGCGAGCAGCAGCAACAGCCAGTAAACTGCGAACAGAGGTAAGCCGAGCAACAGGGGAGAAGGTCTCCTCATAATCAATACCATATTCCTGGTTGAAACCCTTGGCAACAAGACGAGCTTTGTAGCGTTCAATAGAGCCATCAGAATGTGTTTTGATTTTGTAAACCCATTTGCAGCCAATTGCAGTCTTGCCAGGAGGAAGATCAACAAGATCCCAAGTATGAGTTTTGTCCAAAGCTTGAAGTTCATCAGTCATAGCTTGCTGCCAAAGAGGATTAGTACAAGCCTCACGATAGGAGGTAGGTTCATAAGTAGAAAAGGCAGCAGACCCAACAATATAATCACGAAGGTGGATAGGAGGTTAAGTTACCCGGCGTGGTCGACCCGTAGGAGGATCGGTGGAGAAGGAGGTGGTGCAATGAGAGGTGGAC